CCCTCCAATATGAATTTCGTTCCAACGGCACTGCACACCATTCGAAAAGCTACTTCATAATTTTCTAGGAAAATTTCGCACTGGCTTGCTCTTACGCCGGCTGAGAATTACATGCTTTGCAATCGCTTTCAGAATTCTCTTTGTCAATCGGGTAACTTTCTGAGGTTTAATTGTAAATACCTCATTGCTGTCTCCAAGGGGGGCCTTTGCAAAAAACAATAGAAAAAGTAGAAATTGGCTAATTTCAAGCATTAACAAAAGCGCGGCTAGCGCTACAACTTTTTTCCTAGCATAGTTCTTTTCAAGTGACTCTGCTAACCGAAAGCTACCTAACTTCTCTATTCTTTCGCACTCCTGTTGTAATCTTCGCAAATTGAATACTAAATACTTTGAAACATTGAAAATTTTGCAAGAAGTTAAATGAATAGATCTAAGATGCAGATAATAGAGATTCTTGCTTTTCAAAAGACATACAGTCCCTTTCAAAAGCAATTATCTTACAAAATTAAAATTATGCCAAAAATCATTACGAGTAGCTGTAGCCAGAGTGGGTAAGTTGTGATCAAAATTTTCATTTGGAGGGGAACAGGCCCCCCATGCCCTCTCCGGCAATGTGGTTGAGTCAGGATCTATAAATCGAGCTTGAATTTAGTGCTTCAAAACAGAGCCTCTTTGTAGATATTTTTGCTTATCAAGAAAGTGTCGGCATGTCCCCTCCGCCAACGCCCCCCCCCCCCCCGGTGATGTGAGCCCTGTTTAATGAAAATATCGGTATAAGAAACGAGTACTGAGCAATATGAAAAAATTTAGAAACTTTAGTACTCGATGTAAAATTACTAAGAAGTTTTTGAAAAATTCCAGAATTCTATCATCGTGATTGGCTGGTTGGCATTAGAATTGAGACTCGGGGCTGAAAATACACGCCCTTCGTCTACGGGCAGCATTAGAAGGAAACCAAATCTCTTGACTAAAATGTCATTAAAAATTTGAAAAAATAGAAAAATCGACGATTTGCAGCGACGAAATCCTTTTAAAAAGATTCAGCAGGGAATTTCTTGACGTGAAAAATTGGAAATAGGAAGCTAATGTTGGAATAAATGACGTCATACTTCGACGCGTAGCCCCCTCCCCTGTAAGGCTGTTTGTCGGAAACAGAATGTTTGTCGGAAAACTTTAGGATCCTCTACAACCGTAAGTCACATCCCAAAGACTGGCTGATGATAGTCTTCATAGCTTTTTATATTTTATTATAAGCAATTTTGCTTTTTATCGGTTGTTTATGCTGCACTGTCTGAGAATATAGCCAAAGTTGGTCCTTGCTGAATGATTACGTGGTCCTTTGTTTTGACTAGTCACTTCAAGCAAGAAGGCAACAGCACCTTGAGGAAATCTATCTGCATCTAAAGCAAATTGGTATGTAGAATTTGCTACTTAACCTATATATCTAGGAAAGGTGAAATGGCAAATAGATACGCATGCGTAGTATTCAACTTACCACTGAAGTAAACAAGTCGTCGGAAATATTATGATCTCGCCCCCTACTATTGGTGTCGGCCCTGTAAAAGGATGTCCTTTTTACGGCTCTCGAACCGGGTGAGATCATTAAAAACAAGGGAGAATGTCGGCAATGATTGTGGAGCAAATTGCAGATTAAAGGGGCTAATAAATATTTTTGAGGGGTTGGGTACACATGCTGAAACCCAAGAGCAATGCAATTTTTGCTTGGTTTTAAGCACATTTGTAGCTTATTTGGGGGCTAAAGCCTACCCCCGGCCCCCGCGTCTCCGCGGTCCCTGAATGTCATTCTCTTGTTAAGCGCCAAACAACTGCCAAAGAAGTTGAACAAATGATGGAAGGACCCGGTCCTAACGAATATGTTGAGGTTTCCTTTTGTTTTTCCTAAGTCAGTTTCAAGACATATGGCGCAAAAAGACTAGCCGGGAAGCTGTTCTTAACTTCAATAATTCTGAACAGTGGCGTAGCTAGCGGTCATGCTTGTCATGCCGGGCATGACTATCTATTTCCAGAGATAACATTTTTCAAAAAATTATATTTTCGCAAGAATAAAGTCCTATTCTCCTGATGAAATAGCTCAGGCCATTCGCCTTTGGAGCCCTATGGTTCCACGCAAGAATATGGAGCCCTCCGAAGGCGCTCTTCTATTGTCGGGCATGACTAAAACAGAGGGTTTCCAATTTAGTCATGCCCATAATTATGAGCATGACCAAACCCTGTGTTTTAGTCATGCCCATAACGCTGGTTCCCTATGTTTGGTCATGCCTAACAATAGGAGTGACGCAGGAGAGAACAAAGGCTAGTCATGCCATTTCGAGAGGGCATGACCATCATTATAACCATCAGCACCGCCCTGTGTTATTTCGTGAACGCGAATGCGAGGCATCGATGGCGGCGCTGCTATGCCACTGGTGTGCTATGCCTAGATCCACGAGCTGGGGGGTAATTCTCTGTAAGTAAAATGCAAACAAAAGCTTATTGCCAAGCAGCCACGACTCATGTTAATCTCCAGAACATTTTATGGCAACGACAGGGTTTTTCAGCCTTAATTGTGTTGCACTATGTGGAGAAGTGACAGGCACTAAAGGCCATTTTTGGACATAAAATCAGCGAGCAGGATCATTTTTTGCAATCAAACCAAACTCTCAGCCTTTTCAGTAATCAATTGTTACTAGCTGAACATTTGCAGAGAATCTTCTTGATTTAATGAATGCCAAATCTTTGTGCTGTTCACTGGAGATGGATGGAGGAGATAGCAGTGTTATTTTCCCCAGACCAACAGATTTGAGAGCTTAAACTTTCCAGACTTTTAGCAGCATATTCAGAAACTGTTAAGCCCTTTAAAAGCATTGTTACCATATTATGATTAAGACAATAAGATTGTAGTTAATGGGTAGGGAATGCCAAAACTTGCTTAAAGTTATTCTTCAATTTCTTTTTTATTATCACATGCAATAACACTGTTTTTACACACAATTAAAGTCAAACTCAAAGCTCTACTGACTTCACTTGTAGTTGAAAGTACCTTTTTACTACTTATAGCTGTTGAAATCAAATGACCAGAGACAAGTCAAGCATGTTACTGATCTTGTTAGTTAAACAGTTTTATTTCATTATTACAACTTGTGTTGTATTTGAAAATTTACAAGATCAAATTACTTCATTTACAACCCTTGTTTGCTAGATTTAGTAAGGACAATCCAATCATGTGGATATTTGCCACAAGTATATGTGGAAACATCAATGTTTTTGTTAAGCTAAACTTATTTTGCAAGGTATTTTTCTATTAAGTCTAACTTTGCAGAAAACATTTTGCAACTAGGCCTATCCATTATTTTAGCTTCCTATATTTCATATCAATATTCACATTGCATATTCATTTGCCAATTTGTTTTATTCATCTATCAGTTCTATTCAGGTTGTTAGTTAATCGTGATGGCTTTAAAATACCTTCAATAGATTGATAATAAGACTATTTGTGGAAAAGATTACCAAAAAGCTCCTATTTAGTTTCATGTGATTTATTGTTTCATTTACAAATTTTAGCTTGTCTCTAAAATTTACAAATGTATTTCAGCCTGCAAATTGAATGAAAGTAGGAGAACAACACAATATTTGATTCAAGCTAAGTTTATCTACTATACTAAACTAATGTTTTTAATGTCTTTTGTACAGTTCTGTTTGGAAATTGTCAGAACTCTGTCTGTATAAATTACCAACAAACCAAAACAGTGTCACAGGTATAAGATAAAGGTCATTTCATGGTGTAACAAGATGATTGCTATGAAATAAGAAAAGCTATTTCCAAAAGTTAATCAAATTTTTTTTATAAGTCACAAGCCTTAAAATAAAAATTTCCAAAAGGAACTTATCAACTAAAAAATTGGGCGTGGTAAAATTTGGCCACACCCATATTTTTTCAAATTTAAGGGGAGGGCATGACCACTGCTATTTGGCTAGCTACGCCACTGATTCTGAAGACAAAAAGGCGAATTCTAATGTGCCGGTGACGATTTGAGAGAAGCAAAAGCACATCTTTGAATACATCATGTCACAAATAAAAGGTGCTGGAATGGTTATAAGAGTATGCCATATGATGCAAAATGAATATATTTTGATGCTAATGTCATAAAATATCATATAAGGAAACATTATGAAAAGCCAAAGAAGACGCAACAGTAAAGAGAATTAGGCCAATTCCAACTTCTTTGTCAAATTCAATATATTTCCTAGAAATCTTGAAACTTAAAGTCAATGAGTATGATTTATTGTGATCTATCCTATTACTCTTCTTGAACAACAGCATAAGGGTTCCATTTAGTTTCAAGTTTGCATGCATTTTTTAGCATTACTTTTTTTATATACTGCAACTAAGGCTGTACGCTCTTGGAAGTGACTTTAGATAACAGAAGGACTATTCTAAGAAGATTCAATGAACCAACCAAATTTTTTGATCATTAGGTCTCTAGGAGCCAAGCAGAGCCAAAAAAAGACGCCTTTGAATTCAAAATTTTCCGGGAGAGCACACCCCAGACCTTCCTGGTACAGTGGGTCTCCACCGTATATCTTTGTACACCTTTAGTGTTTTGTCCTCTCCAACCAAACCCAAAAGACTTGTACGGTTAGTTTTGGTGCATGCATGTTTCGAATTTGCTAAGTTGCCCCCAAAAAACCATGTGTCATCAGTACAAAATGACCACCACAGTTCCAAAGCCGTTTGATTTTAGATTTTAACAAAGCTTAAGGTCACCAGGCAATTACTCAAAAACAGCTAAATATTTACATTTTGTTGATCTGCCTATATTGGTTTTGATAAGTGGGCTTATCTGACACAAGCTGTTCTAACCTGTCGTGACAACTACCCCCTCCAAGAAAACCATCAAACTTGCGCCTCTGAGTTTATTATTTTTTCATGACATTTTTAGTAATCTTCAACATAACTACTCCTGAGTAACTGAAAGAATGAAAAAAGAAAGTTCAAGCAGTTATTAATCAATAATAATATCGTTTGTAGATGAATATCTATTCACTATATAATTTCATCTGAAATTCTTTAAGGTTCAACTTAAAAGGCTAAAATGAGCCACTACCTAAGATTATGTACACAACGATTCAAGAACAACTGAAACTGAAACAAAATTATTATAAACCAGGTCCTTTATCCACAATTAAAAGTTTTTATAATTGGCTCGTGTTGCTCAGCAACATTTGAATATTAGCGGATAATAGCAACTAAGGGGAGGAAGGGGGAGGGGGGTGTTGGTAGGCGCTAGCTTCATCACATCAACCGTTCTTTTGTTACAGGATCTTTCAGCTGCATATTAGTGATTTACAACTTCGGTTTTATGTTAAATTATGTTAATTTATGCAATTAAATTTCAATGCAAATGCAAATAAAAAGCATTACATAACAGTTCTTTTAAAGTTACGAGCCTTTTTATCGGAGCTTTTTCCAGAATTTAAGGGTCTATTCGATGGTTTTCAAGAGTACCTTTTAAGATTTTACGGAATGACTAGGGCGGCTTTGCCTCGCCTTTTATGACATCCGTCATATAATCTACTATACGCAACCAGGTTGTAACAATATTTCATGACAGATTTCTAGCGAAAACCGTTCGTTATACTTAACAACAAAAGCTTTGTGTATACACACATAAATTATTCTGATATACAAAAGTTATCACATTTACTAAACGCAAAATTTTCTGATGAACTTAAATGTTATGCAGAAATGCTCTTTGAAAGGCAAAAGGGGTAAAGAAGGGCTTAATTGCCCCTGTTACAGTTACTGATCAGACAAAAGTTGCTTTTTTTCTAAAAACAGGTCAAGAATGATCCCAAAAAAATGATCCACATAGAAATGATCCACATTGATTCCCTATCGTTATGGTGTTACCCAGCTTCATTATAATTACAGGTTTTGAGAGAAATTACAACTTATCCACATATGCGCTGATTGCCAAAAGTCTCCGATATTTACGCTGATTGCCCCACAGTGCCCTTCTGTGCAAGCCTTGAGAACAGTGCCCGGCTGTTAATGAGGGGATGATTTGCTCTCAAGCTAGATCGACGAATTTTACCTTTAAAATTGCCAACTAGAGTTTAAAACTAAATCGGCTATAGAAATTCTTGTTTTAAATAACTTTATACAACAATCTCACAACAATTTGATAAAAATATATTTATAACTTTTTTATAAAATCTGGAAAGACCAATCGAAGTGCACCTGGGACAGGTCTAGCAATTTGAGAAGAAAGCACTGAACTTTTGCATTGCCTGTGAAGTGAACTTATAACACAATTTCTTCTTGTTTTCCATTCTTTCTAGCGTGCCATCCTTGTAATAATGTCTCAGAGCTCGGCTCAGTTTCTCGTGATTCATCACTTTCTTGTTACCTTTTCGGCTGCCCCAAAGTGTTGATATTGTTGCTGAGTTGGTAATTTGGAACAAGCCGTCTCTTTTTGATAGCCAAGTTATTGCACTAGGGTTGTAGCGAGAATCTTCAAGCCATTGTAATAGACATTGAGCAAGCAATGTTTTTGCTGGAAAAAATGCAAAACCACGTGTGAGTATGCCTGTAATGAACCTTCAACAACAAATTTTAGATTTGCAACGACATATTTTAGGGACTTCTCGCTGAATTGGAATTTAGAGGCTAATGTAGCATATGAAGGCTTTTGCAGATTTTAAGCTTCAAACTGCATGTATGGCTGGCATTTACAGAAGCATTGCACAAATTTCAAAACAATTATGACTATTGCTATGATCATAGCTGTGAATTGATTATAATTAAATACTGGCAGAACAATCTTCTAGTTATAAGTAAAACAAAAACACCAAAAGTGTAAATTGTTTAAACATTGATACGACTAAACAGCTGACCTCCCTTCCAACAGCGAGGCCTCTTTTGCAATGTAACATTCCAGGCTTCTCTTCACTTCCTTCACAGTGCCAAATAACTTTGATGGAGCAACTCTCAAACGCTGCCAGAAACCTTCTTATCAAAAGTCCTTTGTAATAATGCAACGGTAGAAAAGCGTAAGAAAACTTGTGCTTCTACCTACTTTCTAAAGGTTTTCTCCGGTTTCGTTTATCCTTTCGCTTCTTTGTTGCAAACCCTGCGACTTCTCCACACTCGCTTGTTGCGCCTAAAGAAGAATTCGATGGTTAAAAGTCAGAAAGAAGAAGAAAGAAGAACTCAATGTTTTAAAGACAGTAAGAAGAAGAAAGAAGAATTTGATGACAGTTAAGTCAATAAGAATCGGAATAAAGATCATTAAATATATAACCTGTGCCCCAGACCTCTCGCTTGAATCTGGAACACGTGCTATATATAAATGGCTCTCTTGATATTATATAAAATACTGCTTTATTATCGTTAAGTTATGTTAATACCTTGTTCAGAGACGGAAGGAGGTTCCGCTGTTGAGCATGTTGGTGACGTAGGTTCAGTGTCTAATTCATCCCGGCTAACTGTACTGTCCGATGAATAATCGGTTTGCAACGGTCCAAGCTCGGCTAAGGTGCAAAATAGCGAGTGTAAGGTCCACGCTTTTTTAAAGGAACACTTGGCTCCAGTACAACCTGGCGTTCCTAACGCGTTTCTTATTTTGTTTCTTATATTTTTAATGGAATCCCCTGTGCCTTGTAGTGTCCGGACATTACATGTCCTTGATAAAGTAACTAATGCTATTTTACTTAATAATTTTTGTTTTTCTGTTGCTATTCTTTCATTCTTCAATATTTGCTGAATTTTTATTTCTTGAGTTTTGTTGAAATTCAGCCTGCCTTGTTTTTGGGAGTTCTTATCTTTTGGGCAAATCTGAACCTAATGTTGCTTATAATGATTATTCGTACGCATAAAATAGCATGTATCAGGTTTGAAATCCAAGTTGATGCTGTTGCTAATACCTATGAAAACATTTCATTTTGAATTCCATTGAATATGCACTTACAAATCCCTCTATCACATAAGTAATTTTAAATTGGCTAGCCTAAATTCACGAAATAAAACTGTTACATTTGTATTAAAAAATACCTAGCAAAAGAAACAAGTCTGAGCTAGTCCGAGTTTTGTTCCTCTAGCAGAATATATAACATGTAATGCGAATTGGAGTGCTTGTTAGTTTGGAGATAAAATGTCGTTTCTATTGATTGTCAATAGAACGGGAGTCCCACATTCCGATAAAAAGCTGCAGAAGTTTCTAAAATTATAATGTGAACTGTCGGGAAGAACGACAAACTAAGCTTACTTTATGATAATAATTATAGCAATAATGATGTTTATCATGAAAATGCGATGTCAGTGATTGTCATATTTGTTATGATGATCATGTATTCAACAAATCATTCGACTCACAATTATCATCCTCGAGCATGCGCAAAAAATCTTGCAAGGTGGGTTGGCTATCGTAGACTGAAGCCTTCATCGCTTCGTCGATAACAGACGCAATGTTGCTTTCACTTAAACAAGAAAATCAAGTAATATTAAATAACATGAATACTATTAACTGTAATTTAACAATTCATTTATTCATTATTTATTATCAGGGCTGTATATACAATCTTTTTCAAGGTACATGGCCACAAAATGATCGGTAGCGGCACCAGTCATTAAGCTGTGAAGAAAGGAGGGGGGGGGGGGGGGTGGTAAAATAGAAAATGTAGGCCAGACCCTACTGTATGAAAATGCCTTCTACCAAGAAAGAGACATGACAGGAGGCACTATTTCTACCAATAACAACGCCCATGACTAAAAATTTGATATGTAAATGTAGTTCCAAAATCAAAGAAGCAAATCAGAAAGGAATTCTCTGCCAAAATAATACCCATCCAAAAAATACTGCTCGTCGACTCTAGAAAAGTGAACGTAATCGACCCTACCGATAACTGGGAGGGGGGGCATGTCGCAATTTAATATGGCTAAAATACGATGTAATTAACAAAGTGAAGGAAATATCAACAAGTCTGTTCTAAATATTTTTTGCAGAACGTAGCGTAGCAGTAATAAATCAATCGACATATACCAAACTAGGTTAAGCCATCGGTCGGTCAACTATTGGCAAATTAATAAACAAAGGCCTGGTATAACGCTTTCTGATTGGCTAATTTTAATTGGCAGATGGCTCAAGTCTTTGTCAATTGCCTTTAAAGGAAAGTGGCCAGTTGCATTTTCTGACAGCACTTGAGGTTGTGGGTCGATTCTATGATTTAAATATTGGGGCAATATTGGGGAGACTTGGGAGACAAGGATACTTACGATCCTATATCATGATTCTGTTGACTCTAGACAATAGTCTTCTTGTGTAGACACTTCCCTTGTGTATGGATCATCTAAAGACTTGTGTAATAGGAAAGTAGTGTTGGTTTTACCTACTTCTTTATCTAGCTACTTAATATGATGAATACTGCAGAGCTGCCTGGATCAAGAATCACTACAAGACATATTGTAGGGATAAAAATATGAGCAAGAAATTCCTACCTCATGCTTGTAAAAAGATCTTGCAAGGCACATTCATCACGCAATAGATAAGAATGCAAAGAAGTCTTCATTTGTTGCTTGGGAAATATTAACTCTAAAAAATCCTAAGATAAGGAAGAAAATATACACTTTTTTATTTTCTTATTTCATATTAAGCCGATGCTTTAAGAGTTACAAATTCAGGAAAAAAACTAATTTCTGTGAGAAACATACATGTGGTTATTTAAATTTTAATAAAAACGTTAGAAATATTTGATTGTCCAAAAATACAGAAACAGAGAGTAGAATCCAAACCCCTCCTAAAATTAATCGATTTGAAGCACTAAAAGAAAGGATGCCAATTTTTTTTCTATTCTAAGATAGTTGCAAACTTTTACACCGCAATTTGTGTGAGGTTTTAGTCCATTTCTATTTATGGTATTTGTAGGCTAGCTTCATTCGAGGTGAAAGAGCTAGTCAGAAAAACCATTAAAAAGGTCCAAAGAGATTCAATAAACCGATAGAAGAACGTCAATGAGACGGAAACTCTTATGGGATCTTCTTGTTCCCAGTAAAAGCAAGTGTATCAGATAGTCAAACTTTCTTTTTAGCACATACCCCATTAATTCTGCATAGGAATAAAAAATAGGAATTATGAAAGAATAGGGATGCTATTCCGAGTTATACAGGCAATATTTTAATAAATTCCTCAATTGGAGGGAGTTTTATTGTACACACTTCAACCTTCAATTTAAGTAACATTAGACCATTAGCAGGAAATATGTATTGATAAGTCGTATGTCAAGATCAGAACAGAATGATGGAAAATGGCAATGAATTGCATATCTGCTACAAAAATCTGTTATAAAAAGGAAATAAGGTTGAGCTATGACTTGCAAACAGAGTTTAAGTGCTGTTTCAATGAAAAATATGACATGTTTTTGGATAAACTTCAAAATTCTATAGCAATAAGTAGATATTAAAGTAGCATTAGGCATTAAACAGTTTCATATGCGTATTGAGAGAAGAAAACAGGGTAAAACTTCTTCACGTTACAAAAAAATCAAGTGATGAGAATGAACAGCAACAAAATTTTACTTTAGAGTGATACATTTTCAATTTTAGGCTGCTTCTGGTACTTAGCATGCAAAGTGCAAAATTAGGCTGCGTTTAAATAGATACAAAAACTATGAAATTCTTAGATTGTAATAAAAAACTTAGATATATTCCAAGGAACTTTATACTTATCAAGAAACGGAAAACGTCCAGGTAGAAGACGTCATAACCCGGAACGGGACATGACACCTACCTATCCTTAACAGCTTTCACAGTAAAAAACAATTGTTCAATTTCTGGATGCGAAATATACTTTATGAAAATCAAAATCTTTGCTCTAATCATACTGAAGTTGTGCATCTAAACACTTGCCTGTTTTGGAAGGAAATCTATGCGCCAGCCTCAAAGAGACACTTGACTAGCTTAGAGAACGCTCTTCTCTCTACGCCGTGCAGGTTGAAATGAGCAGTGCTCAATCACTCTCGTCTTCTTAAGTAGATGTACAATGACATTATCGCATAGCAACGAATGTCAATAGAGGTAAGGATACTTCCTGGTTTCGATTCAAAAATGGCTGCTAAAACAGACGTCTAGCATAGGACAGCTGAAACTGATGTAAAAATAGCACTCTAGGAAATATGATATTAGTTTCTAGTCCCCCTAAATTTGCTGAGGGAAGGACAAAATATATTTTACAAGGAAAGATTCATTTAAAAACTATCGGCGGATATAATTTTTCCAGAACTTTTAAAGAATTGCTTGATAATTTTGTTCCTAATGCGAAATCGTTTTCAAGGTTTTACACTCAATCTCATTATGTATTTTAAGAGTTTTAAGGGAAAACATGAATGCAAAATAGAGTATTTGTTTGAAGTCATTTTCCGCAGATGCTATCCCTTACATTGGTTTTTACCTACATATATGTCTTTCGCAATCTCTCTTCTAAATAGAGTATTTTTTAAGCCCTTTTATTTTTAGATAACTCATAAAAGGCAGGTTTCTCTTGACTTACTTTTGATAAAAATATGTTTCGTCTTCAGAAAGGGAAAATACTTTGGTTTTGTAGTTCAATTTAGAATTTTAAGAACTGCGTAAACTTAAGAAGGGTTAGATTTTTAAGAGACTTCTTAATTCGAGGTGAATTTGCTGCAAATCCAAACTCTTACTTAACTAATTTTTGGCATACAAGAAAATTATTAACCGATACTTAACTAGAAACATGACAGAATCAATTTTGTCTAAGAACCATATTCCAAGCATTCAATATGTTCAGAGCCATTAACAAATAAGTATTCTAACTCAAGTTAAATTTTAATAGTATTGTAGATTTGACGTGAATGTGGCATTTTCCCTTGCCCCATGCTTTGTCACATTTTGTACTGCATCTTAATTTTAGCACCATAAGCAAAGCTAGGTATTCAGTGAAAATTTGAAGCTTATTGGCCTGTTAAATCAGGATGAAGAAATAAGTAAGACATATGTAGTAGACAGTTCGTGAGTGAATAGGAAATAAGTTGTCTATGTGGCCATAATTATTTTATTAGTAGAAAAGCAAATTTAGGATGCAGCTAAACCATCTCATATTCTAAAAGGTGATTATTATACCTCAACATCACAGAACAAGTTTGAAACACAAAATTTGGGCATTAATAACGTGGCGAACCAATAGATGTATAGATTATTATAGTTAGATTTGACAGTCATTAAAAATTATTGTTAGGCAACCTAATAGCTGTTTCTATTATCTAAATCCGTTCTAAAATTGAGGATGTTGTCTTTCCAATAAATGGTTGGCAAACTTTTCATTCTAAATGAAGGTGGTTTCTATGCTGAAGCAAAAATATTTGTAATCTTTTTTGACAGAATGCTGCTTTTCTTTGAAATTTTCATTTTGTAACTGTATGTTCTGGACGTTTGATAGCAAATAATGCTTCATAGGTGGTCTCTGTGTTTGGATACTGATTTTGAAACCGTCTCGTTAGCTTAATTTATAAATTACCAATCAAACACAATTACTTTTGTCATATAATACTAGACCGACGATGCAACATCTGTGTGTATTAGTTTGGCGTAAAAAACTGAACGTAGCTTTAGGGTAGTTGTTGTAATGTATAAAACAACTCCTTTGACTGGTGAACAAACTGCCAACCAAGATTTTTCCCTTGCAAATAAAATAAGCTTCAAAGGAAGCAAAAACATTTGTCATGAGATTCTGAATTCTGTTGACGAATAACGGGTAAAAGCTTCAGAGTTTCATTCAGGATCATTTTTTATCTAGCTTCTGGCTCTTCCGAGGTTTTAGGTGGCATTCCTCGACAGTTTTGTTGCTTCTGTTCAATGCATCGTGCTGTTGTATAAGTCTTTGGAAATTATTTTGTTTATTATACAAGCATCATTCCTCTTGGCTTCTAAATGCATTTTACTTCCTTATTCTTGGCATTACGATAAATTACAGATTGATGATCAGCATCTTCGGTTTGATGATAAAGAAAGCATTGGTCCTAAATGAGAAAATTTGCCTAAAAGTACGATCTTTCTTGAGCTCTTACATTTCAAAGCACATTTCAAAGCAACATAGGCCCACAAATAGACTCTTTGAAAGCTTTCTTCTAAAACAACCATCAATGTTTTATCGTTTCACTGCTCTGCCACCAGATTTCCTTCTATGTAAAGAATCTTTCCCTAGACATATTTGGTAAAACAGACAGTTGTTTTGTTTTTATATAACTACTTCTACTACTTGTATAGTTTCGTGTCGTTCAAAACATTTTCTAGATCAATAGTAGAAACAGTAAGACCAAATTGATCAGCGTTGATTGCACATTGCATTTGATTGACAATTACGTGACTCGAGGCTGTCAATCGTTGTTACGATAAAAAATCTTTCAAAAGCAGAAGCCAATACAGTTGAGACTTAAATAGATGCCTCTTATGTTACAAGATAATTACCATGTTAGCAAAGGTTTTGAAAGAGAAGAATCAGCCGAGAAGCCAGGCGGTGACTTGTTAGGGAAATTTTGGTGAAGTTATTGTGGGGATGCTTAACCTCACCTCGGTATTTCATGTGTTTTTCAGTAAATCTTAGGACAGTCAATAAAATCTTTAATTTGTCGTTACAATTGTCAAACAGTAGGTGAAATCACACCTAAATGTTTCTTCATCTATGTCTATTTAGGTGAATTAGAAAGGCTGTCGGAACGTAGAGCAATGCCACTGCTTTTATTCTAATTTTCATCATTAGTATACGAAGGATTCTACTTTGTTATGTCATTGCTATATTTGCTTTCTCCTGGCTTCGTGAGACAAAAACCTGTATGTTAGCAACGTATTGAATGACGATAAAATTTGAAATGTACCAAAACAGACGATGCAAAATGCGACGTTAATGCACCAAAAAATTCTTCAGCATTCGCAGAACACAGTAAAGTAACAACAAAGATTTCGTTTTGTTTCTGTTAAGCCTTTTTCACAATCAGGTTTTTGGTGACAAAAATGTTCGCTGTCGGAATATTAATGTACAATATGTACAGGAATATTTATGTACAATATGTACAGGAATATTTATGTACAACATGTACATGAATCTTAAAGGTTTATGAGATTTGATATGTTTTGAATAGTTATACATATTCAATCAAAAATTCATAAGTTGCGTATTTTTTGACATTGAGATGTATGCTTTACACAAACAAAAATGCAAATAAAACAGAAACCATTTCTGAAGAGAAATGTGAAGTTTGCAAGAAATGACGTTGCAAAATATGTGTAATGAATGTGCTTTTAGTGCTCAATTTAACCAATATTGTTGGTAGGTTCTATTTCAAGCAAATTTTGCTGAAAAAATGTATCTCAACCAATCCATTGGCTTCAATGGAAAAATATTGTTACAGAGTCCCTTTTTGTTTTCTTAATCGTTAACTTTGCGGAATTAATGTAAATATAGGGCCTGCTAAACTAAAATAATTAAGGGGATATTTAGAAATCATATGCCATGAAATTTAAGTGCAATTCAAATTTTCAAGAATATTTTGCTTTATTCAAGAATCTAGAAATCCTTGGCCACACTCTACGCAAAGCCTTCCTATATGAAATATCTGATAATATTTCATAACAAATTGGATTAAAGAGGATAATCCTAAATACAAACCATATAGTCCTAATCAGGTCCTCAGAGTGATGCAAATGCCGGCTGGGCTTTAGCATTTTAGTTCTATCAAATAAATAAAATGCCAATTTGGGTACACTAGAGTTTCAAGGCCTGAAAATTTATGTGCTGCAGTTAAATGTTCCTTGTACCGAGAATAGAATAGACAATTCACTTTATCTAAGTCAAATAATTATTTTATTCAGTGATCTCTTTCTTTTGATGCCATGGTCTGACACCTTGGGGCTGCATAGGATGGTATAAATTCCCAAGTAAAGCTTTTCATTCAATCCCGGGCCTCCATTAGCACAGTCAAGTAGGCAACACTAACTCGAGGCCCCAGTGAGGAGACAAAGTTCAAAATGGACAATCCACCTAGAAACGTGACATTTCTAAAATTTTGAAAATTAAAAGCATCCTCCAAATGATGAAGTAATTTCATATAGATAGTTCGGAGATTGGAATGTGTTTAGGACAGTAGTGAGTTTTTCTAACATAATGGCCAAAATGGAGCTATCGTAATGCGGAACAAATTTGAAGCATACTTTTCAAAGAAATCATCTCCAAAGAGTAATTACCAGACAAAGCAGGGAATAACGTAACTACGACATTTATTTCTTGACATATGCCATCTCGCCACGGCTACATAAGTGTCTGAGTCTTGAAGTTCAAACGAGAAAAGCAACCCTAGGTATGTCGCATACCACTGACCAGACTATGGGTACAATATAAAGTGACTTTTATGAAACGAAGAAAATACCTTCAATGAATCGAATTAAAACGCTTTATTTTAATTATTTAAACTATAAAATAAAATCTAATCCGAAAGTTGCTTACCCTCGAAAGGCGAAGATTTCTCAAGCATATTTTAGGCGATAGAAATCCCCCTTAGTACCCTGTGACAAGAAACGTTTTCTTGGAAAGTTGTAGGTAGGCCTAAATGACTAGCATCTTCTATGTACCAAAATGTCCCGGTTGTAAGGATAATAATATCTTTTTGCATCGGGTAGAAAATAGGATGCTATTAATCAAAGCAAAGCCGAGGTGAGTAGCTGTGAGGCCTTGCGAAGCTGATCAGTTTCTTAGTATTCTGAGTGTGGAGTAGGAAATCTGGACTTTTGTCAAAACTTTTACAATAAAAGGAAAAGTAAAATATCGTTAAAGTAACTAACCATTTACAGTTGTGATGACAGCCAGGCACGTGCATGTGTTGTTGAATTCCGTGTGTTCGGTTTGCTTGGAACTGCGGGAAGGAAAATGCGTATAAGTCCAGATATGTATCGTGAATAATGCAATTATTCAGAAATATTTGAACAAACTTTAAAATATGGGAAAGGAACAATTTAAATCTGTATATTATCGGCATGGACGCTGGAGGTAAATGAGAGGGTTCTCAGGAGACGATTGTTAATTTGAAAGAAAATCTAAAACTGTTTTTCTCGGTTTTGTCAATGCTTTGTAGGCCGAGAAGTGTTGCAAATGAGAAAACCTATTGGTAGAAATGAATTCAGGGATGGCTGTTGATTAGGTACAAGGATGGGGCCTGAGGTGGGGGCCTGAGGTGGGGGCCTGAGGGATATCTGCCCCTAGAAGTGATACAATTTTCAATGTCAGCACGATTGGCATAAGGATTGTTATTACTAGAGCAAACATTTGGAAACGCAGCGTGCCAGCATCCATCTTTACAGCTAGTGCGCCTGTGGGATTAACTCTAAAACATAACATTTCAGGCCTGGAAATTTCGTATCTTTGCACAGCTATGATTGGGGAGTCGTATACCATATATTCCCATTGGAAGCAAAGCTCATCACCAAGCAAATTTCTGCATTTTAAGAATTCTAAATGTTGTATATTTTAGTATAGCATAGCTATAGTAGATTAGAAAGAGACAATGGGGATTCAATTTTGATGCTGAAGGTTCCGCGACTTTAGTTGCATTTCAAAGCTTCTTTATATGCGTAATGCATGAGCGAGCACAAAGTCATGAATTACTCTGCTCCAAATCATTTATGCTTAGTTTTGTTTTATGAACAACTTGATGATTTTAAAGACTAATTTAACAAGGAACATTAAACAGGTTTGTGGAAAGGAGAGTTCGGAATATAAATCCAAAGAATGCTAAGAATCTTAGCCACAACTTGCGGTTTTTTGTATGTTTTATTCAGTCTTTCTCCATGAAGTTTGCTGCAGAACTGAAATTTCTTGCATCATTTTGTACATAAAACATCTAAAGACTCAAAATTATTTTTTCTGTAAAACGCAGTGGGCCAGCAATAATTATGATTGGAGCTACGTCATCTGGACTTAGCAATGCATTATAATTTAATCTTGAGCTTTGTTAATACAATTTTTACCTGACAAACAACTGCTTTAAGAATTATTTCAAATCTTTTTTAGCACTAAAGTTTCTACCATTTGAAGTTTCGTATTTTTTCTCGCAACAGTATTGTTTCTGTAAAAGATACAGGTCTTTCTTACAAAAGCCCCTGCCACTGAAAACTGCAAAAACAAGCCCCAGTATAGGAATTTGTACTAAACCATTCTATTAAGCAGGTTTGCAGCATATTCCAAAATATATTGTAAAAAACCACAATCTCGATTAGTAATAGTGGAAGAAAAGGAAAAAATAATTTTCATATGGCAGAAATGAAAAGCAACAGACTTGCATTTAAATGAAACTGCGTCCCTACCTTCTAAAATTGTAGCTTTATCCAGGTTTCTTCTTTACTTGCAAGTGCAGCCCTCCTCTTATACGTAGCACAGTCCAGAAACTGTGCGTAGTAGTCATTAACCATGCTTAATTGAACATCCTCCAAAGAATGACGTAATTGTAAAATGAAAGATATTAACTTGCAGAAAGGGTACAAAGGTAAAAACCCAAGGACATCTGAAACTGAGTGCGTGGGATATTTGAGTGCATGCTTTGGTGGTGAGGTATTTATTATTGTTGAAAACGTCATATAGAACAGGGAAGTTCGTTAATGAAATCGTTGCCACCTTTGATTGACAAGGCTACCGGTGAACGCGGAACTACTTTTTCAGACAATCCGCGTCCCCAGATGGTTACTATAGAAACTTACTGAAACAACAATCGCAGGTACTGAGACCGATGTGATTGACAGGTCCTCCGTCTCTGAAAGGGAAGAAATGCCAATTTCATTCATAAACGATTTCAAAGGATGTTGATGGTCTTTCCTATACGATTTTACCAATGTTAGTGTATTCTTGCTAATAACGCGCTAATTCAATGCGACAATATTTTATGTCCAGGCACGTTTCACAGCTCAATATTTTGGAAATCTTTAATTATGTGCAGCAAGGTCTTTTCAGTAACGTGGCAAAATATGCGAAACTTCATAGAAAAAGGGCACAATCGAAACATATCGCAAATATTAGCTGGTGTTTGCATTTTCCGCACAACATGGAGCTGGGGGGGGGGGGTTCTCCCCTAGTTTTTGCTAAAGATTAAATCTAAATAAGCCAAGTTTCTCATTATAGATGAATTTGTGTAGGACGCTGACCTGCTCGCTCGACTGTTTCCTCTTTAGGGCGGAAATTTTTACAAATTTATCGGTCGCCTCCCCGGTACCAACACTGATCTCGAAAATAAAATGTCAATGCAACTCATCGCAAAAAAGGAAACAGTAGAGTCTGCATAGAGGCCTAATATTTGGTTAAATGTAAAATGAAAAAGATACACTTTGCCAGTATTCTACAGTCTGTTTAATTTCAGTGACCACACCAAAGAAAAGGAAGAGGGCATAGGACACAAACAATTAGGTTATCAATTATTAGCATGACATCTGAATTTAAAGTACAATTTAAAGTGCAATTTAAAGTGTCAATTTTTTTGCGCTGTGCCACCCCCAACAAACCCCCTTTCAATTTCCCTGCAGCTCTTCCGCCGTCTCCGGCCTAGCTCGCATTGCTAAGAAGAATGTTGTTGAAATCAAGCAAGGTTTTTTTGCCTAAGATATCCTATGGAGATAATGGTTATGATGCAGTCATATTTATGCAAGTGTTGCACCATAATGACCGAGGGGCGATTCACTCTTGCAAACAGCGTATGAGATTTTGCCTAAAACCAAAGGATTTCTGGGGATTTTCAGATAAAACAATAGGATTTCCAGAAAAGGTGTACGAGATTTTCTTAGATTGAATTGCCCCTCGATATTGACACCCCGGAAAGCAACTTTGCCAAACTTAAAGAAAGCTTTTTTAGAGCAAAGCAGAGATTTTGGAACTAAGTGGGTGGCTCTAAAGAACTGCAGCAGTTATGACCTTACCTTTTCTTTCCTTGTCTCCAGATATCCTTCCCTGAAATCAGCAAATTCTTTTGCCACAGTGAAATCGGGTACAGCCAGTGGCGGCCCCAGCTACTGCAGAGTGGGAGGAAAATGGGCGTGACCAGTGAGACCACACCCCTTTGCCTCGTTTCGGTGCTTTGTACCAGGTTAAATTTCCTTGGGAAATTTTTAATCCGTTTTTACACGAAACATGTAGACCATGTTTCGATAAAAATGGGGGTACAGCTTACCTCCCCCATACCCCCCTTGGCACCGCCACTGGGTACAGCTTATGGTAAGCTCTTTACCTGCTTAGTCCACTATCACATTTTGATTCAATGAGTAAAGAGCAGCCATTTATCGTTAACGATATTTACAGCTGAATGACCAGACATCTTAAAGAACTTCAATGTTTTTTATCCTGTCTACATCAGTGAAACGAGCGTCGTGAGTTTTATTTCGGCGAGGAAGAGCTTTCCTTATTCCGTTCAGTTCAATTCATTCATTACATACATTACAAAGAATAAAATGTCAATTTTACATTAAAAGAAACTTCAAAGAGACAAAAAAGTGTACAAATAAAAAAGACTAAATGGAGGTAGGTAGGTTAACCAAAGAGATTTTTCGCATTCTTTTTTATACTTTTTTTTCCTTGGTTTCTACCTAGCATCCAAAGGTTTTAGAAGACGTAGAAGCCCTGCCTCTCCAGTGCCCAGGTCTTTCCTCTGAATGTGACCACACCTGGTGATTCCTACCCCTGACATTAACGAGAGCTTGAGACTCCCCTCACTCCAATTGAAAGTTTTGTCATGTCAGGGACTCAAACCCCAGACCCTTGTATCTTAGTCAGCAACCCTCATCACTGAACCAACCTTGCATCTTTTTTAATTTTCAAGCTACTGAAAATACTCTGATAGAACGCTTCATCAAATTTTTGATATTTTACACCTCATCCCCCTCACTTTGGTTAGCGCAAATAATTGATTCTAATCAGGGGTGACTTAAAAAAAATAACAAGGAGGGCTCCGGGGACGATTTCATCAGAAGGGGTATGGTATTTTGTATGACCATAGAAATATTCTCATACATTAAATTAAAATAGCCAATGCTTAGTAGAAACAACCATTAATCTAAAGAACAATGTAAACTTGCAAGATATCATCATCGCAAAACTGGAAAACAATACATGATATACCACCAGCAATACACCTCCAAAGGAATAGAAACTATTCAAAATGGTGCCATGAATCGACCATGGATAAGAGAATTAACAATTTTTGTGCACCCAAGATCTTTAGAAATAACGCACATCTAGACCTTTCAAAGACAAGAGGGAATTTCTGAGAGCAAGATCAATAGAAAAACTGTTTGGGGGTCTGAGCCCCCAGAATCAAGGAAGTTGTTTGGGAGTTGACCAGATGTTTTATTTACATCTTTACACAACCGAAACCAATTTATTTGTTCACCAATGATTCACATAAAATAGATATAGTGGGCTTCAAAAAGTTGATTATAGTGTGAGGTTCTCCACGCAAGGAAAGTATTGCCAAATTTTGGAATAAAGACATCTAGTTTCAAGCGTCATCTGCTTCTGACTGAAGTGAATCTTCAAAATCTTCAAAGGAAATCGGGGTCTGGTATGCGAAACTGTTTTGTTTGGCATACTGTAAAAACCAGACCATAAGACCCTTAGACCCAGGACCCTTAAGTACGAACAATAAAAAGGGACCCTTAATACTGAAGGGTCTTCACCTCGACAATACAAAGGTCCTGGAAATTTCAATACTCATTGTTGCTTAAGAGTTTCTTAATTATGATGTCATGGATGATGTTATGAAATGTTCGTGACTTTTTTATCACGTTAAGAGATTCGTTTCCGTTCTAAAGCTGTATTTAGATGTGGGAAGTATATTTTTATCCCCTGTGTCTTAAATTCTAGGCCAATCATGTTCTTGGATTTTACAAAAGTTCGTTGTTCTCATTTTTATCACGATTTAATAGTTTCTTAATATTTTTGCTTCGAGTACTGAAGTTTCTTAATTTCTTCTGCCTGTCCAGAACTCGTTTCTTATAGCCAGTTTCTTATAAAAAAATGAGTATATTGTGACACAACTCTGAGTTTCATGTGTAAACAATCACCAGGTGGCTTGCCCAATCTGACTCTCAAATCGCCATCACAAAATGTTTCTTTGCTGTCAATCCTCGTATTGTTCAAAGTCAATATTTCTATTGACTATGTATTGTTTACAGCACTAGGAGAATCTTTCCATCCATTCAAAAGGATTGCATTCCTTTCAACCATAAAGTTCCTTTATTTATGAATTTACGTGCCAGTGTGATTCTGGCTACGTAGGACGCACAAAGCAAAGATTGGGGGATAGGATAAAACAGCATGTTCCTTCCAACACAAAAAACAAAACTGCCCCTCAAAGGGAAAAGCCTCCTCGATCAAAAAACACTGTTAAAACAAGTGATTCTGCATTCGGTCAGCATCTTTTAGACAGCCCAGATTGTGCTAAACTCTATAATGACGACATGTTGGCAGAGTCCGGCCATCTTTCCATCTAGCAGTTCTACATACAAACAAAAAAGCCGCCATTGTGTAGACAGAAGGAGTTCGTTTTCTTTTTTTAACTCCAGGGGTAATTTTTCTTTAGGCACGCGGCACTGATTGGACAACTGTTCCAATCTTTTGCTTGCGCGTTTCTGATTGGCCTATTTCGATTCACAACTGGGTATAAATTTTTCATCATGTCCTTTCGGACTTTTATTCTGACGCTTTATGCTCTGAGGAGTGTCAGACGTAAAAGCTTTTAGTTAATATGTTGTAAAATGTTTGCTTTTTTCAAAACCATTTTTAAGTTTTGTACTGCCAAAAATATGTACAATATATAATTTTAAATGCTAGAAAATAAAAAACCATAATATTAAAAACCTATTTATTTTACAGTAGAAAATGAACTTGTCAACCCTGTATTGATTTTTTGCAACCACCCAGGGAGGATGCCGTCTTGGACTCAGCAGGAAAGCTAATGAGCAATCGATTTGCACTCCAAGGTACTTTGTCTTTTGAACTACTTCGAGTTCATTGTCGTGTATCTTCAGTTCCAAGGCTTCATTTCGACTTCTAAGAGAGCTGCCTTTCTGTCTGGTGGATATGAGCATTGACTGAGTTTTTGCCACATTCAATGAAAGCTTATTGCCTCGCAACCAAGTCTCCAATTTCTTGAGATCGCTATTTATAGCCTCATTCAGCTGAGTCAAATCTTAAGACTGGTAACAAAGACTGGTATCAACAGCATACATAGTCACAGGGGTATTTTGGATGGTTTGTGGAAGATTATTTATGTATAAGAGGAATAGAAGAGGGCCAAGGCATGAATCCTGTGGAGCTCCCATTTCTATTTCCCTGACATTTGAATCAACACCATTAACCCTACAGAATTGTTTGCGGTTGGATAAGTAAGACCTAAACCAAGACAGCTCTCACTGCTGAACGCCATAAAGTTCGAGCTTTTTACAGAGAACATCATGGTTGACCTATCAAATGCCTTTTTCAGGTCAATAAATACCAATCCCACGAACTTATCGAAATCGAGCCCGTTGTATCAATCGTCACTCATTTTAAACAAGCAAGTTAGTGTGGAAAGTAGCCGCAAAAAACCTGATTGGTCAGATGTAAATACACCATTTTCTTTCATATACTGGTACAGCTGGTTGAAAACA